CCGGGAGAAAACCGGAAGAGGGCAGTGAAATCGGGAGTCTCTCGCGAAAATCGGGAGGGTTGGCAAGTGTGCCGGCGACCCCCCTCCCCCTCTCAAGGTTGGCAAGTATGCTTTCAATACAGCTTAACAGAGAGTTTTACAATCGTCATACCTTGTAAATGTTCATGTAAATCCACTCTGGTTTGCTTGTTAATGATTGGAGTTCACCAGCTGCTTTAATGGCTACCTTCACCTTTTTTTACAGCAATTTTCTCTGCGGAAATCCAGCCTGCGGGGTAATTGATTGGGCCGATTACATCAAACACAGATGTCCTTGAAGGACAACATGAAAAGGGAAATTAGTACATTTATTTTTCAGCTTTTTCCAAGGAAGCTATTAACCTGCAGCAGTTAACCTTGGGTGCAACCTAAAGAAGTCTCATTAAAACGGCCCTTTAAGCTTTTTTTAATCACACATCAATGAAAAGAGTAACTGACTGAAGAGTCATGAAGTGCTGCAGATTGTAAAGGTGCATACACTCGTTTTTCCTTACCTTTTTACACCTGTGACCATTCTTTTATTTGATTAATGGAAGATCAAAATCTCAGTATTGTGGAAATATGCTACATTTGTCAGGCTGGTGTCAGTGGGTTCATGTCGGTACACCTCAGAATTGTGGGATGTTTCTTATACAACATACTTGTGGGCACAGATCACGCTAAGTTTTACAATTCACAACCGAGTTTCTGTGAGTTACGCAAAGCCTCTTTTGGGTGATAATGATAGTTTTACACATTGCCAGTGGAAATATGACTTGGCTGCACTGATTGCTAATCAAGCTGTGGTTAGAAAACAATGAACAGCTTTTACATAGAGGGCCAGAGGGAGGATGGATAAGGATTACTCACATTTATTTTGTTTCAGTTATGGGAAAATGTCTCAGTCCTGTAACAGAGTTGCTCAATGCAGGTCTCTCACTATATGTTACAAATGGATTAAAAAGGTCCAAAGTTAAGTAATCTTGAATTGATATCAAACGACAAACCGTTGGATCACACCAGCACTGATGCTAAATCACGCCAAGGGCATAACGTTGGGCAACAATGGCTCTGATTAAAATCTGTCCACTGAGAGACAGGCTAATTACTCATAAACGCTTCTGAGGTAGTTGTTGCTACATTAGGTGTTTCTAGGACAACATTATGGCCATTATTAAATTAAAAAACATACCAAGGTCGCTGTCGTTGCTGGCAATAACTTGATCTTCTAAACAAACCAAACGACCAAAAGAAAACCCCAACATGCATACTCTTAAAAGACACTTTTTCTTTTGTACCATCTGTATATTGACTGGCTCGATGTGTGCTGGCTTCATTTGCAATGGTACATTTGGTGCTTGGTTGGTACCTCTCACACCCCACATTTTAAATTGTCTCCACTGGGAACTTTCCCCAACTTAAAGTGAGTACAGAAACAGCTGTGGTGGACAAAGATGAATGTTGAACTGCAGTGTGTTCCTCCTTTTGGAATAGACTGTGGAGACTTCCTTAGGGCTCACCCCGAGTGGTAATCCATAACTAGATGTCAGATATAATCCTCCAGACCCCACAGCGGAAATGTCACTGACGTCATCCTAACAGAGATTTACTGCCTGAAAAGTAACCGATTGGGAAAGATACAGATGTTTTCAACAGCTTCAGTATGCAAGGGTTAGCTTTAACACCCCGTGTATTAGACTTCCTTTCTAATCCAGACCATATCAGCCTTAATGCGTGATCATTTAAAATAACTGCACGCCTTTCAAAATGCCAGAATCGGTTAGTTTGACGATTTGGAGTCAAAAACAACTTGGACATGCTTTGCCTCTGTGTTCACACGATGACACAGGAGCTGAAACTTGTATTGTTTGTTTCATGTAATTGCTGGGTTGAATAGCGTTGGCATTGTAAAGGCTGATTGTTGTCTGGACAGTCTTGTAACTATCACGATGCATCAGTGAAACCAGAGTCTTTACAAAACCAATGTTTAATAGCCAAGATGGAAGGAAAAATAAACTCCTCTGATTACTTTTATTGCCCGACACACAGCGAGAGATAAACAGAGAGTGGTTAGCTCACTAGGCTCAACAACACATGTGCAAACGCAGCCTCGAGAAGCAGCAAACTCACACAATGCGGGGGAGGGAAAGCAGATGTAAAGTACAGAACGGGGGGGCGGTTGTTTAATTTGACCGAGAACAAATCAAGCACTGTTCGACCGCATCAACACGGTGTCCTAAAAGTGATGCTCGTTCACTCAATAATAGTTTGTAGGGAACATACTGCTGCCTAAATTGCAACTGCAAACACTCAACATTTGTTAACCTGCTGTGCATGCTCCTTGGTAATTATTAATATGTGTATATGCAGACACATCTAACGGTAAAGTGTTATATATCTGAGCTTAACCGCATACATCTGGCAGCAACTGCTATGCAAAGAAGTCACAACCCCTCTTTGTTTGTTGCAACCTGAGCTCCTGAATCCTTTGTTTTGGTAACCAGCGGTTTATTTAGTGCGAGTGAGACCCTCCCTTTGAAACTAATGGCTTTAAAGACACCGAAAGACCCCCCACACATAGCATCGTAAAAGCAACATGGCAGGGTTCAGCCTTCAGCTAAAACCAGGTAGCTGCACATTGGGTTACAGGGATTGAGGTCGCTCTGCAGATCAAAACAATAGCTATTTACCTTTTTGTTAATAAAATAACTCCAACTAATGCGAGCCCAGTGTACTACCCTCTTCGCTCCATGGGTTACTGCTGCTGTTAATCCCGTTGTGTCTTCAGTGGTCACTTTCTCAGGTGGTTTTGAATGTGGTGTTTAAGGGGATAGTCATATCAACAAATGGACAGGATCTGATTAAGAGATGTCACAGTTCTGAGCTTACTGTATAATCATCAATCCTGACCAGCAAACTCTAATTGAATGGCTCATATAAAGATATCACCCTTTTCAAATGAAAGAAAAGACACGTAGGCCACAATATTGCCTCCAACTGCATTCAAATTAGAAGACTGAAAGCATATTTTTGAAGGTGATGAAGGCGGCTTTAGAAGGACAGTTAATGCATGGTTTGACCCTCTTCTCCTCAACCTACCATGGGTGTTTCTTTTCAAGCCTTGTGGGTTTAACAAGGCCATCTAATGATGACATTCAAATGAGAGGCAAGCAGACGTGGTCATTATGTGTAATTTTCAAAGAGCACTGCCCACAGAAAGCTCTTTCTATGCAGTAGAAATGCAATTTTGCAAGCATGAAAATCACATAGTTTTGTAAATCTCCAGTCAATAAAACATCCTGCTCAAGTGTTTACGGTAAAATAATGTTCGTAGTCTGAGACAAAGGAAGGCAGACCGCCCGCCCACGATGAAGGTGAATGAATCCATGGTTAATCTCTTTTTCCTTTTGTGGCCAGACTCTGGGGTGGAATAAAAAAATGTACTTGCTGTGCTTGTTAATGTGCCTCTTTGGTGTCAGACTGAACGTGGTGTTGATGAAACCCCCACCCAGAAAACCCTAGACCACACCCCCGGGCTGATGGTCTCGTAAGTGGGACCACGTAGACAGGATGACGTCAAGATCATTCCCAGGAAGACGATCTGATGTGGGGGGGAAAGCAGCGCTGCCCTCTCCATTGATCTGGACTAGTCATTTCACTTCTTGCCGAGGGATCAAAGCGTTCGGGGGTAAAAATAAAACCCATTCTTTAACAATCATAGTGCAATTGTGGGTTTTTCCAAGCAAGGTTTAGGGGACGAAATGTCTAGGATTTGTGACTCACCAGTGCAATTGCAAAACCATCCGGTGGCACCACCAAAAGAGGGTTGCTTCGGAAATAGAAGGAAATCTAAGGTGTGTCCCGACCACAGGCGGTTATGTCATTTTGGATACGATATCTCCTCGAGCAGAACACTTTACGGCCAATAGGAGACGATGATGAATCTAAGTCATTCAAGAAGTGTTGGCATTATCAATATGCTGTTGAGGATAAGAAGAGAAGAATACAATGGAGTTTGCAAAATGAAAAATGTCTTTCTTTATGGCCTCAAATGCAGCGGTTCAGTTTCTGGAGTAACTTTTTTAAATGCAATCTAAAACAACAATAGTGCTATGGAGAAAGGAACCGATATTTAGACTGTGATACATCTGAGTAAAGTTTCCATTGGCTAAAACTCTACTAAAATAATGACGTTTCCTTCGACTAAAACTAGAAACAACACGCTATGACTGTAAGCGAAATCAAAGTATTAAGGGCGGTCATTAAGACGGATCAGTGAATGAGCAGAGGAACAATTTCAGCCTTATTTTACCATGTGTCCCTTTTCCCCCCTCATCGGAAAAATGTAGTTGTACTCTAATATTTGCTTTCCTTTATAGTCTGCCTCCTTAATGAATCATCTGTTATTTTAATTCCATCTTAAATTAAATATAAAAAGTTCACAGTGTCTCCAAAACAGTGCTTCAAATAGAGGACGGTCTACTGATGTCACTGTTTATCCAGTGTGGGCTGGAGTAGTTTTATTTAGCGCTGAAATAAGCCGAAATTAAAAAAGCAGGCTCCAGCGCACACCACCTGCGTCTGAGCAATCCTTTTAAGGTTTGGTAAACAGCAGTATTTAGCTGTGAGTTAATGTGTGCCGCAGTCCAAAGTCTGCTACCTTCTGCAGAATGACTGAGGAGACGGGGTAATTATGCGCAGGTGTCCTAATCAGTTCTGAATGTGCCATTTTGTGTCATTACATGTAATTCACTCACCCACACCACATGCATCCCATATTAAAATGTCATCAATGCACTCGGTTCTTGTCACATTTCTTTGCAAATCTTGACTTGGAAAGATAGAAGATGAAATCATGTCCTCATATTTATATTATCATCAATAGTTCTCTGATGGGATATTAAACTGCTCCTATAAACTCTGGACATGTAGTCTGGGTGTAATCAAACCCAGAGCACATTTATTTCTATGGCCTTTCCACATGTTTGGTGGGTGTTCAGCCAGTGAGCTTAATTCTTACTACACGCTGCCAACATGCGACCACTAACACTTATATTTTCCAGCTGTCGAGAGTTCCCACTAACCCACGGGGTAAAAATGAAATGTTAGATGTGTGTCACCGAGTCGTGAAATTACACTTTCTTTAATGTTTATTTTGAGTGCAAGCAAAAGGATTGATACTTTGGTTCATTCTGTGTTTGTCCGAGCTTCACAGACACGATGCCCAAGACTTAAAGAGGTCATTTTCTCATGACCCACTAACTTCCGTTAAATGCTGAATCACTGTAAGCACAAGTCCAGGTCTTTATGTTGCGTTTTCTGGCATTGGGTCTACATTTTCGAGGTTTATCAGGGCCTCTGGAAAAGAAGTAATTCATCTCATAAACTCTGGCTTCTGCTCTTTCCGCACGAAACCGGTGATGTCATTAAGTAAAACAATCTGCTCACTGGCAGTCAGACGGGAATGGCGCCGGGGGGCATGTCTGTTACGCCTAATAAGGAATGGGAGACACACTTGAGACAAAGCATCAGTTTGAAGCCTGGATATACTGAGAGACACACATGCAATGCAATCGTTGATGGAAGCTAAATGAAATGTTGGCTTTCTGTTTTCCTCTTCACTTCTCTCTCTGTGTTTCACCGCTGTAAGGAAGCAGGACCAACATCTGCAGCATCAGGTGTCACTTCAATATCCTGTCGCTGGTTAGAAGAGGGATGGTTTTTCTTTTGTGCTGTGTGGAAAACAATGTGTAATTCCACTGGCAGAAACTTAAAGAGGCCCTATTCTGCTTTTTGGGAATTTTCCCTTTCCGGTAGTGTGTGTATAATTTATTTAGAGAAAAATAAAGAGCTTTTTGAACATTAAAGCATGGAGACATGTCACAGTAGAGACACCACATACTGATATCAGAGTGAAAATGAGCAGAATAGGGCTTTAATTAAACGAAAATGTGTCGCTGTAGAGCTGAGTTATAATTGAGAAAAATTTGATTATGAATATATTAATTTAAAAAATGTGATTTATGACACATTAAAAGGAACTTACAACAAAAATGCTCACAACTCAATAATCTATATAATATTACGTTTTTTTTTTCATTAAAGAAACATGCTGCTTCTGATACCTTACTGTTAGTACATTTTGTAGTTTGATTTTAAACTGAAGTATTTCTACTTTAAATTAGGTAAAGCATCTGAATGCATGATTTACTACTCATACAAATCATTTTAATACTAAATATCCGTAAAGAAAACACTACAAAACAAATATCAAAATAACTTGTGTCAAAATATCGCATTTGAAATGATTTAAAACTGCATATTTTATAGTTTTATTCACCCATTTCCCCTAATGAGTCTGAATGGAAAGTCTCTTATGAGCATGTAAAGGGGAGTATTGTTGTTCAGGGGGAGGGGAGCCTGGGGGAGGGCTGTGGAACAGTAAAAAGGGTGGGAGGGGGAGGTGGGGGATTCAAATACAGCTGTGCTTACTCACACTTTGCGCAGGACGTGCCTGTGTCAGGGTGAACACCGTTATCTCTCACCGGGAGCAGCCTCACCATAAAGGAACCAAGCCTCGCAGAACTCAAACTCCCGGAGCTCAGCCTGAACTTCACACCCACTGGAGAGTTTTTATTTCATTATTTATTTTTTAATACCGTGAGAGCGCATATATCGAGCCTGCAGGGCTTTCCGGACGGTCACGCGCACTCTGTCCGGGAAACACACGCACAATAACAGACATGGAGTACCTCAAATTTTGTTTTGTGTTTTCTTGCTGGGTGAAGTTTGCACTTTGTGTCTTCTCTACTGATGCTCCTCAACCTCCTGCGGCTATTCCTAAAGGTAAGACACTCTGCGCAAACACAAGCATACTTTTACTTTAATGGGAGTTTTTTTTTTTTTTGTGCATATTAATTGGAAAGTCGCATGAAGTTACTGTCTGGGCTCCAAGAGGCGCATGTTGCATGCCTGTGGCTCCCTGTGCGTGAATCTGTCAAACGCTGTCGGTGCGTAAAATTACAAGATAGTGAACCGTCTGCGGTTTCTCACAATCCTGATTTTATTTGTTTAACTTTGGCTGCGCGCAGCTCTGACTTTTATGCGTTACATGGCAGGCTGTAAAATATCAGAGATAAATAACCAACCGACTGGAGGCGAGACTTGGAGACTTCCACTTGTTGAATTTAGACTTTAGCAACCATGCAATTATTTTTTAATGATTTCCTATGAATCAGAATAAAAGGTTTTCTATTTTATTTTAACAGCAAACAAGCAATTACGTGCCTGAGAAAGCGAGATAATTGAAAGATAATCGATAACATGTATGTCACGGTTTTATTGACTTGTTGCCATGATGTCCCTGATACTACATTACTCCAAATTACCCTGAAATCATTTAAGTTAAACACATCTATTTATACAGTCACGTGGCGTCTTGTAAAGAGCTGCAAACAACAACATAAGTGGGTACATGTGTGTGTGTTTAATACCAGTGTTGGTGTCATAAGTGCTGTGGGTTTATGTGTAAATTTAGTCTTGAAATGTAGGGTTTTAATGGTGGATGTTGCTGGGGGGGGCAGGCTAAAGGGCACAACAGCTGCCTTCAGTCCCCACAGGTTTGTTTTGTCCTCTGGTCCACACACACACACACACACACACACACACACACACACACACACACACACACACACACACACACACACACACACACACACACACACTATTAACTTTACAAGGGTCACAATGTTTGCTTATGAAAGCTGTGTTAGTTCACCTGCATGGGGGGATTATATCAGGAGGGCTTGTTGAGATTTATACAGTAAACCCACTTAATCTCTAATGAACGGTTTTCGAGGTATAAGGGAGGCTGTGGCTCAGTGGATAGTGTGCTGGATTTCGAATCAGGGGATAGCAAGTTCGAGTCCCACTGCAGTCAGCATGTCGTTGTGTCCCTGGGCAAGATACTTAACCCCAAACTGCTCCTGTGGGGATTGTCCACGGTACCAAAGTCTCTTTGGATAAAAGTGTCCAACAAAGGACATGTAATGTAATAACAGATTTGATATGACCATGCACAATTTATAATAATCAATTATTTTAATACGATTGTGCTTGAATGTGTTCCTGCAGCTCATATTCCTTAAGATGTAACCAGGTGCCATATATGCAAAGAACAGTTTTAAGTATATGAAGCACTGCCTTAACTCAAATAAAGATGTTTATAACTTGCCATGTTGATGATATATTAAAATAGCAGAAACAAGAGAAATTCAGAATGATTAGATTTTTGTTGTAAAGAAAAAGAGGTCACATTTAATTAAAAATGTTCCAGTCTTATAATTCCAAAAGGAATATCATGCATGGATGTTTCAGCAAGCAACTCCCTCAGTGCGCAAAACTGTGATCAAGCTTTTGCAATTTCTTTATGTAAGCAAATACTTCTACTCTACCAACGGCATTTTGATGCTTTGAAAATAGGACTTGTGAGTATTCAATAAAACAGTTTGAGCAGGAAAACATCGGTGCATTTGAAACCCAATTTCCAAAC